AAAAAAAAAGCATTAATCTTTTTCTTTTTATACATATGGTCACCTGAAATGCAAAAAGACGTAACAACATCGCAACTGAAATGGAAAAGATCGTGACTGATATTTTTATTTTTATTTTTTTAATTTACCAAAAAAAAAATCGGTACTGTTTTTCCATTAGAATTATCTAATCTATTATATTTTAAGACGACCAAAATATTTCGAAAAAATATTAAGATTTACGTGGGCTGGACCTTCAAAAATTCAGTTTTTTATTAATAAAAATAGTTTCTTAAAGATGTTTTTTGAAAAAATCCCCTCAAATGACAAAAATTTTTAAGCTTAAAAAATTTGCACAAAAATATTAAAAAAAAAATTTTAAATTTGGAACGGAATCGTAATAATGAGATTAAAAAATATAATAAATTTTGTAATCCCGGCGAAAAAACCGCAACTTTTTTTGTACATATGTGAAGATGGTTTAAGTTAAGTTTGTTTTTTCTCCAATGAATAGAAAAGGGTTTCCACCTGCTTAAAAAATTAAATTCAATTTATTTCATAATTGAAAGTATTATAATAATGTGTGTAACAAACGAAATGATTTTGAAAAGCCTTCATTTCCAAACTACGTGAGTGGGAGTTGCCACCTGTTTAAAAGGTCAAAGTCAACTTGTCTTAAAGGAATTATATAATTGAAATGTGTATCACAAATCTTTAATTTGAACATTCGTAAGATTTTTGAGGTGTTTGAAAAGGGTTGCCACCTGTTTGTTGAATTCGAATGATTTAATAAGTCAAATGAATTATTAAAAGTTGGGTATCACTCGAAATGACTTTGAAAAATCTTAATATCAAAACTATCTGTGGTAGGTTTGCCGCCTGTTTAAAAGATCAAAATCAACTTGAATCAAACCTACTAATTAATTGAAATTGTATCACAATATTAGTGTCAGAAGAAAGAGATTTATAAAGGTTGTAGGTAGTTTGAAAATATTTTGAAGGGGATTGCCAGCTGTTTCAAAAGTTTCATTCAAATGATTTAATAAGTTAATTTAATTTTAACAATATTGGTATCAATCGAAATGGTTTTGAAAAGGCTTCATTTCAATACTACCTGTAGTAGGGTGACCACTTGTTTAAAAAATCGAATTCAACTTGAGTCAAGCCTATTAGGCAATTGAAAGTGTATCAAAATATTGGTGTCAGGAGAAGGAGGTTTAAGGAGGTTGTAGTTTGAAAAGGGTTGCAACCGGTTGAAATTTTTAAATTGAAATTATTTAATAACTTAAATAAATCAATACAATTTGGACTTCAATGGACATGGTTTAGAAGAAGCTTCATTACTGAATTACACACAGGAGAGCTGCCACCTGTTAAAAATGTCAAATTCAACTTGAATTAAGCGAATTACGTAATAGAAATTGTATCACAATATCGGTGTAAGAAGAAATATATTTAAGAAGGTTGCAGTTTGAAAATATTTTGAAATTGAAATTATTTAATAAGTTAAATTGAAATAATTTAATAAGTTAAAAAGTTCAAGTTCAACTGGAATTAAGCTAATTATGTAATAGAAATTGTATCACATTATCGGCGTCCGACTAACGAGGGTTGGAGGGTTGAAAATAAGAAAAATGTGAAAATCTATGTTTTGGATGAATTTAAGTATGTAGAGTTTTATTGAAATAAAAAAAAATNATTGTATCACATTATCGGCGTCCGACTAACGAGGGTTGGAGGGTTGAAAAAAAGAAAAATGTGAAAATCTATGTTTTGGATGAATTTAAGTATGTAGAGTTTTATTGAAATAAAAAAAAACACGTAATGTAACACGAAATTTCATTCCCTGAGCGCAGCGGGTGCGGGAAAACTAGTTTTCTATAAATATAGGTGTCATTCTACAACAAAAACCATGTAAATTAAAATTTTAAACTCTGAACAAAGTTAAGGAAATCAGCGAATTTTCATTACTATTTCAATCTTTTTAAGCATAATTTTTAAAATAAATTCGAGTACGCAGTTGCCGAATTTGCTGAATTTTCCTTTATTTTTTCAAAGTGTTCACACATTTTTACTACAATTTTTTTTTTTTTTGTAGAATGAGCTCTATATTTGTATGAAATAAAATTACCATAAAAAACATTTTTTATGTACATACATCCAAAAAAAATCAATGCTGAAAGGATTNTCTATATTTGTATGAAATAAAATTACCATAAAAAACATTTTTTATGTACAAAATCAATGCTGAAAGGATTGCCATTGGCTGTATAAATATAAAACTTTGTGTACTTTTTTAATATTTTTATTTCATTGGTACGACTCTGCATAGTTTCTGCTAAATCCAGCTTTAAGTATAATTTTAATTAAACAAATACTGAAACAAGCTACCAAAATTATGAGTCCATGAAATTAAATTTTTTCACTTTTAGAATAATGCTTTTAAATTATTTTCCATATGTATTACTTTCACATATTCCATCTCAATTTCAGACCACCCATACTTATTTAATTAACCCTTCCCCCTTCTTCTCTCCTACAGGCTCATGTGGTCGCCGCTTTCGAGCAATCGCTCTCCAACATGACGTCACGCCTACAGCAGCTGACCGCAACCGCCGAGCGCAAGGATGGCGAGCTGACTGACATGCGTCAAACAATCGAATTGCTGCGTAAGCAATCTATTCAGGCGGGTCTTACATCGGCGCATATGCAAAGCATGGGCGTGCAGACACAGCAGAACGAGCAACAACTACTTGCGCGCACGGCTATCACACAGCAACCGGTGTCGAATCAGAATGGTGCCAGCAATGGTACCGCCTCATCGACGCCTTCATCTACAGCTGCTGGTGGTGGTGTTATGCAACGACATCACAGCTCTGATTCGATGTGCTCGCTAAATTCGATTAGTTCCGGCTGTTCGGCACAGGATAAGAAGCAAAAGAAGAAGGGTTGGCTACGCAGTTCCTTCACCAAAGCATTCTCGCGTAATGCCAAAATTTCGAAGACTAGTCGACACGCCGGGCATCATCATATGAGCGCGGGCAGCGGTAGCAACAGCATTGGTGGTCATGCAACACATGGCATGCATGCAGAGAGTAGCGCTGTTTACAACAAAGCTAATGGTCATAGTTACGCAGAGCCTATTGTGGGCTTGGCCGCCTTGGCAACACAACCTGCGCCACCAATGCCCACAGCCAATGCATCGCCCACCAAAGGTAGTCCAGCGAAGACTGTAATGCTGATAGACAATGCGAAACCGATTGATGCAATCGATCACGACGATCACCAGGTTGTAGAGGACCTCAAGAAGCAGCTGCGGGAAAAAGACTTGGTGTTGACCGATATACGCTTGGAGGCATTGAGTTCTGCGTCACAGTTGGAGAGTCTGAAGGATACCGTAAATAAAATGCGCGCTGAAATGATGTCGCTTAAACAGAATAACGAGCGGCTGCAAAAGTTGGTCACCAGCCGTTCACTGGCGGGCTCTGAAGCGTCGTTGGGAAATGCCATAAGTCCGAGTGGTTCTATAGGGGAAACGCGTCGTTATTCGTTAGCGGATGCCAATGCGCGTCCACCAATGGAGTTGCCAAAACGTTTGGATGAAGAAGTCGAGGAGGAAAACATTCCACCAGCACCCGCACCCGAACCACCACCACCACCACTTAGTCCCGCAACGCATATCGACCTTACACCACCGCCACCCGCACTCGACACAATTCCTAGCCCCGCACATATTGCAGCCGCAGCGGTTGAGGAATTGCCCGACGTCACCGATGGCAAGAAAATTGCTATCGCCTGCTATTTGGGACAGCCCGAGTCATTTGTCAAATACTGCGAGGAGATGCTGGAGGCCGATGAATTTTATGCAAATGGCATAGATGCGGATGGCATCAGCGAACGCAAGTCGTTTCCCACGGCCAGTTTGAATGAGTTTGTTGTCGCATACACCTACATTTCGGGCAAGACAACCTGGCAGAATTTGGACTATATCGTGCGCAAAACTTTCAAGGATTATGTGTCGCGCATTGATCCAGGCACCAATTTGGGTTTGAATACAGACTCGATCACATCCTATCACTTGGGTGAGGCGAAGCGTGGTCCGGAGATGGGTTTCCCCGAATTGCTGCCCTGCGGCTACATCATCGGCAATGTACGCACACTATATATTTGTCTGCAAGGGGTGGGCAGTCTAGCGTTTGACAGCCTCATACCGCGCAGCATCGTACACCGCTATATCAGTTTGCTAACCGAACATCGGCGGCTAATCTTGTGTGGACCCAGTGGTACAGGAAAATCCTACTTGGCGCGAAGATTGGCAGAGTTCTTGGTGGCGCGTTCCGGACGCGGAAATCCCTCCGAGGCGATTGCAACGTTTAAGTAAGTTTCGCGGTGGGAGTGTGTGGAAAGTGTTGTATAATTTATATCCTTATTTACAGCGTTGACCACAAGTCTTCAAAGGAGCTGCGTCAATATCTCGGCCATATTGCCGAACAGGCAGCCATTGCTAATGGCGCTTCTGAACTGCCATCTGTGATCATTCTGGATAATCTGCATCACGCATCTGCTTTGGGCGATGTCTTCTCCTGCTTGCTGAGCGCTGGCCCAGCTGGAAAGCTGCCTTGCATTATTGGCACAATGTCGCAAGCTACATGCAATACAACCAATCTGCAGCTGCATCATAATTTCCGATGGGTGAGTTGATAAAAAAAAAATTGTATTTACTAATAAGGAAGCAATAAGGGTTGATATCACTCACTAATATCGCTCACTTTCTTTTTTAAACCTTTTAATGATTTTTTTTTTTTCTTCCCTTTCACTTCAAAGGTACTCACTGCCAACCATATGGAGCCGGTTAAAGGCTTCCTCGGTCGTTTTCTGCGTCGTCGCTTATTCCAACTCGAATTGCAGACTGGTCATCCTCAGCCTGAATTAGCGACGGTGCTCGCTTGGTTGCCCACCGTTTGGCAGCATATAAATCGCTTTTTGGAAGCGCACAGCTCTAGCGATGTAACAATCGGACCACGCCTTTTCCTCGCGTGTCCGTTAGATTTGAAAGACTCCCAAGTATGGTTCACCGACATCTGGAATTATCACCTTTCACCTTATTTGGTCGAGGCTGTACGCGAAGGGGTACAATTATATGGACGACGTGGTGGCGCATGGAATGATCCATCTATTTTCATACGCAACTCCTATCCATGGCCATATGGTCCCGATTCGGTGCCACCATTGCGGCAAATAAACGCCGAAGATGTGGGATTAGAGGGTGTGACGGTCAGCAATGGCGACAATCCAGATCCACTGGTAAGTGAAAAGTTCCTCTATTCAAATCAAAAATTTAAAAAAAAAGGTAGATTTGGATTTTTATTAACACATTTTTCGTGTTCGTTTTTTCAGTTAAATATGCTCATGCGTCTGCAGGAGGCTGCCAACTATTCCGAAAATCAGGAACAGGAGTCCGATTGTGCGAGTTTAGACTCGAATGTAACGCCAGACAGCTCGGCAGGTGCTGAGTAAAAAATTTGGTTGGCTTGCGTTGGCGAGCTGTAAGCTCAAAGTAAAACTAATCAAATATGTACTAGAATTACCTATCTAACTATCTAACCAGGACATAATCGCTTCAACTCAAATATTCATGTGCATGGCTTTGTATATTTGTAAGTATTTATATGTGCGTGTNAATGGCGACAATCCAGATCCACTGGTAAGTGAAAAGTTCCTCTATTCAAATCAAAAATTTAAAAAAAAAGGTAGATTTGGATTTTTATTAACACATTTTTCGTGTTCGTTTTTTCAGTTAAATATGCTCATGCGTCTGCAGGAGGCTGCCAACTATTCCGAAAATCAGGAACAGGAGTCCGATTGTGCGAGTTTAGACTCGAATGTAACGCCAGACAGCTCGGCAGGTGCTGAGTAAAAAATTTGGTTGGCTTGCGGTGGCGAGCTGTAAGCTCAAAGTAAAACTAATCAAATATGTACTAGAATTACCTATCTAACTATCTAACCAGGACATATTCGCTTCAACTCAAATATTCATGTGCATGGCTTTGTATATTTGTAAGTATTTATATGTGCGTGTGTGTTTGTCCGTTTATGTAGTATGTGACATTTTGTAAAATATTGAAAAAATCGTGACTTTTGTTTAGGGAATATAACAGTGATTTTAGCCATGATTTAGGTATTCAAGGAACATATTTTTTTTTTGTCTGCTTTTATTTTAGAACTTTGATATTAGTAAATTCCAGGCTCTTCTGGCAAAGAAGCGTGAACATGAGTGAGGTTATGCCACCTATATTTTTTATATCAGTTTCTACATATACATACGTACATACATACATATGTGGTAGAGTTCATAAAAATTATTATTTTTTTTTTAGAAATTTTCTGTAAATCTATTTAAACCTTAATTTTTACTTCTCCGAAGAGTTGAATATATGCAATGCAATTATCTCCTTTGAAATTAGAACAAAAATTAGGTACTAACTACTTTTAGTCTAAGAGTTTGAAATTTGTTTTCGTAAGTTTAAAATCTTACATATATAATTTTTTTACTCATTTTTTAACTAAAAATTTTGATATTTAATTGTAATTGTTTATCTTGAAACTCCTTTTTATTAATGATTCATAATTTTTTTCTTTATCTTGATTTATTTAAAATTTGTTTATTGAATTCTAAGTTTATTCAAATTACCACATTTTTCTGTTATTGCACAAATAAAATTTCTTGCACTACTTTCGGCACTCAATCGCACGATTTAAAGAAAGCAGTTTTATATAAGAAAATTTTATTTGATACGAAAACAAGGCAGCTCTTCAACATCAGGGGTACTTCCTTAAACTCAAAAAGTCTATAAAGCCGCAACGGACGTGCATTTTTGTAAATTGGTAAAAGAAATATCCTTTTGAGTCTTCCACTTTTCACATTTAAGGAAATCCTCTAATTATGAAGGTTATCAGAACTACATGATTGTCAGCACTGTTTTTGATTTGCCACAATCGAAAGTTGTAACTTCATACTTACGTACATATGTATGTATTATAGAAAAGGGTAAATTTTTAAAACAANCAACGGACGTGCATTTTTGTAAATTGGTAAAAGAAATATCCTTTTGAGTCTTCCACTTTTCACATTTAAGGAAATCCTCTAATTATGAAGGTTATCAGAACTACATACATGATTGTCAGCACTGTTTTTGATTGGCCACAATCGAAAGTTGTAACTTCATACTTACGTACATATGTATGTATTATAGAAAAGGGTAAATTTTTAAAACATTTTCTGTAAAAACAACTATCAGTTCTGATGTAATGAAAATTGCACTTTTAAACGCACTTGTTAAAAATGCAAATTTATGCGAAGAAAAACAAATATTTTCTAATGATAATAAATTATGCTGCCATATTTTCTTTTATTAATTTATTTTACTAGATAATACTTTTTCGTATTACGTATTTTTAATTTGATTTTAACGAGCAGCTTAGGCTTGGTTAAAAAAAAAAAATCAGGGTTGCAACTCTTGTTAACTAAGTACTATGAATAAGAAAATCGATAGTTAAGCACTCTGCGCACGATTATTTTCAGAATAAGTTAGAAGTCGTCTCCCAAGAGCATATGTATGTAACTACATTTGTATGTAAATATATAGGTATATATCTATATATATTCAATTACTACNTATGTATGTAACTACATTTGTATGTAAATATATAGGTATATATCTATATACATATATTCAATTACTATAAAAACATAGAAGAACATGCAGATTATATACCTAAACCTACTCTTGTTCACACTTTGTTGCCAAAAAGCAGCGTTATAGTTTATTTTCACCAAGTCTTAACTGCAGTTTATGCCGATGGGAAAAAGGATATTACAACTCGAAGAGGATAATTAGCAAATGAAGGTAAAAGAGCAAAAAAGGAAGAAATTAACCGTTCCGACCACCCCATGTTAAAAGTATTGGAACTTATCTGAGCTCTTAACTGCTGTCGGCTATTACAGAAGATGTTTGATTATAAAATAAAACTGCAGTAAAATAGTAGTATGTATTAAAAGGAGGTAAAAATAAAAATCGGAAATGACTACTACTACTAAATTCACCGATTTTTCGCAAATTCAAATACATACGTCTTATTAAATGCAAACATAACAGTAAAAAGTAAAATAGCTTAATTCTAAACTAATATTTGTATGTACAGATTGAATACATAAATTCATTTATTTGTCATAAATACCGTGAGGCGCATTCATAAATATACAACAGAAGTCATGCTTTACAATTAAAATTAAATATAGCAAACTACTAATGCAAATACACACATAAAAACTTACATATGTACATACATTAAGTTATATGTATGTACTTATGTATGTATGTATGTAACAGAATAAATACCATACGGAGGAGGCATCACGTACAAATTAAAATTCCCTTAGCTGCTAGTAGTAGAGAAATTAACAACTGGCACCACTTTGAAACCGGAGGGAAAACAGAGATCTTAACATCTCACCCACTTAAAATAACCACGATCGGCTATGTAAGTAAACGTAGAAAACAGTGGGCCAATCTACAGTATCAGCTGAAAAAAAAAACACAGTTCAAGTAACAGTTTCAGCGTCACTACTTTCCCCACCAACAGCTGCGCAAGTCAATATGCTACTACTTCAGTATATTTTTTATTCTGTGGCATAATTCAAACTAATTATTGTAATTACTATTCCATACTAACAAAATAATTGTATATATCTAAACTATGCTTTAAGTCCTAAGAAAAAATTATACCGACAAAAAATTCAAACTCCAGCCAATTTAACTGCAATAGTTTCGGCTAACGAAATTTTCAAAAAAGAAATTTTCGGCATAGAGTTTGTTGTCTAAATTGTGTGCAAGTGCATACATTTGTGTAAGAAACGAGAAACATAAAAAACCTTTTTGCTAATACTACAAAAATGCATATTGAATAAGTATATAAAAAATCGAAATATGTAATTAAACCTATAACATAAAAATGTGCTAATACTATATATGTATACATATTTACAATTTTTGAATTTGACACTTTTTATACCCTACAAACCAAAATTATGTCTAGCTATACAACATTATATATACAAAATACTACCCCATACAGATGTATGCATAAAATTATTATTCCTACATACATACATATTTCAGTGGCATGCAGAGTTTAAGAAGAAGCATAAAATAGACTTTTCTACGAAATAAAAGAAGAAAATCAGCTCAGCAAAAGCCATTTTTAAGTTATTCCACTTATGCCCGGCAAGCGTGAAAAAGCGAGTAAAATAAAAATAGATATTTTGAATTAATAAAAAAAAAAAAACATAGGCTTGACATATGTTGCAAAAATTTAAGCAAATTGTATTTATTTAAAAAAAAATAAAAAAAAAATAAGAACCAATAACTTAGTTAAGTTGAAAAATAACTATGTACATGTCGAAATATGTTGTAATTAATTTCACACAAACAAATGTAATTTTAATTTTAAAATAATTAACGCAAACGTGGTAACGAAAATCAAAGCAAAAAGCCAATAATTGAAAAAATATCAGAATAACGATATAGTTACATACTTGCTTACACAAATACGTAAATATATTGACTATAGCTATTGTTTACAAATTGTATAATACAAAAATTATAAAAACAAATAAAAATATTTACCAAAATGTATGTTCGAATTGTAATTTAGGCCAAACGGGCTGAAACCCTGTGAACCGTTACTATAATTAACATTTACTTAAGTATTTATGCATTTCGTTTTGGTTGGTGCCATTTTTTACAAGCGAGTTTTGTTCGCTGAGTATGTTTATGGAGTATGTAACTAAAAATTTGCACACATATTGGCTTACTGCTGAAGTGCTACAAATAAAATATACATACAAAACGCTGGCATCATTGTAAGCGTGCAGAATCAAAATTCAAGCAATTCGAACAATAAATAAATAAATTTAATGTGATTTATTTATTTTTATTTTTTTTTTAGTTTACTGTTAAAAATAACAGGTATGTAAGTATGTTTCTGTTCGGCGTGGGACCCTACAGCATTATTTTTACGAAATACGCCCTGAATCGACGTAATTTTGCAATAAAGCACCCAAAGGAAATGGTTTTTGTAAAATAGCAGGTCTGAATTTACGCGCTGAGCATAGTTCCACCCCTAGTAAGCAGCGCTAAGTGATGCTCTTTCATCTGATACCCATATCGCCGCAATCGGTCCATATTTGACCGAGTTATAACGATTTTTATGCCGGACGCCACCCTTTCTGCTGGTTTATGGTCGCCTAGTAGGAATTGAAAACGTTGAATGCACGAAATGTGGCGTATCTAGCGAAGTTCCACACCGATTTCCAAGATCCGGATGTCAAACGAAAATGCACCCTGTGGCTGTGTGTGTGTGCGTGTGTGACATCCTGTCCTGGAATTGTTTTGCCGGAAAAGGACAAAGACGCAGAAACTTCAGCATAACCCTGCAAAATCTGAACAGATTTTAACCGGGTTGATGTCAGATGAACAATTATAGGTCGGCGCAGTGTCCTACTTCCTTACTTTTGCGAAATAGGCCCCACAACTAAGAAATTTTGATAGGAATGCACGCTAACAGAAGCGGATGTCAAAAATACTGGAAACTTTAGTGCTGTGTGCGCCACAGGGTGCACTTTTGTTTGACACCCGGATCTGGCATATCGGTTTGGAACGNTGCGAAATAGGCCCCACAACTAAGAAATTTTGATAGGAATGCACGCTAACGGAAGCGGATGTCAAAAATACTGGATACTTTAGTGCTGTGTGCGCCACAGGGTGCACTTTTGTTTGACACCCGGATCTGGCATATCGGTTTGGAACTTCGCTATATACGCCGCATATCGTGCATGGCAACATTTGCAATTCCTACCAGGCGACCATAAACCAGCAGAAAGGGTGGCGTCCGACATAAGAATCGTTATAACTCGGCCAAATAGGTACCGATTGCGGCGATCAGGGTATCAGATGAAAGAGCATCACTTAACGCTCATTTCTAGAAGGGACCTATTCTCAGCACCTAAAAGAAAGCCTAGCATTTGTGAAAAATATTTCTCTTGCGTGCTTTGGTGCCAAAATTCACCCAATAAATCGATCAACATAACATTTTGTCGAATGAAGCGCCTTTTTATTAGCATTAAAGTGCGTTTATATAGGTAGAATTGTAATTTTTACCTATTTCAATACTTTTCCTCATAAATTTCTTTGTTAAGCTATTGATTTAGGTGTATTTCATTCAACGAAATAGCTTAGTCGAATAATTTTAAAACAAGATTTGCTTGCTGCATACTTTAATTTTCAAATGATGTATATTCAGCTAGGTTTCATTGCTTTAGACTTATAAATGGTGCAGAAGCATCACGGACCAGCACACTTAACTTATCTAATTCTTCCATTTATTGTTTTCATAATCCCATTTGGATGCCAAACCAGTGACGGGATTGACTTCCAAATCAATCATACGTTTCAATTGGGCCTTTTGGTGCTCTTCGTCGAAGGTAACTGGTAGCTCATCATAAACTGAAAAAAGGATATTGAAAGTTTACGTTTGTGGTAAAAATCTCCTTTTATTTAAGAATTTACCAAATAAGTTCATAAAAATGGCGATCCATATGGCCAAACCCGTGAAGATAAGACTAATACCCACATGTTGTTTCCATTCACCAGTTGGTGCTTGGATTTCAGCGAACGTTTGGCAGAAGCTAGCACGGTAGAGGGCTTTGATTTCCTGATGACTCAACTTTTTCCAATCTTGCTTCTCCTTTTCGCGGAGTGCTTTAATTTCGTTGGTTGGCTCACGGAAACGAATCGCAGGCATTGGGTAATCTGTACGGTCAACATAACAAGCGCTACCATTCAAGCCGTGTCCGACAATTTCGCGGTTACCAATTTTATCCAATGTGTGAACGGAGGCAACGCTGCCGTTTTGGACAGTTTTAATCATCTGTTTCAACAGCTGACGCTGCATGGGCAAGCTGAAACCACGTAGAGCCATCTCGTATGCTGCCTGCAAATGAAAATATTACAAATATGGAACAAAAACAATTGGTATTTTAACATATGTATGTATGTATAGTAGTGCGGGTATAACAGCGGCTGACTATCAAAAGGCGTTTAATGACCGAGCTTAGGTTATGTAACTTCTCAAATGACTGCAACCTTTACAAGTTTCATTATCATAAAATCAATAGTATTTCAATGCTCTTAACCTTAAGCACTCATAATTCTTAGCTACCATTAGTTAGTACAATTCACCATTTCTTTGTAAATTGATAAAATATCACATTTTATATTTAGTAGAACGACCGCAGCGAGTGTTACACAACCAATTCTTTACAAACTTTTCTTAAACAGACTAAAGCAGCAATTCAACCACTGAGTCAGCAAGCAAATAATTGTTATCAAATCAAAACCAAAGGCAGGTGTTTAAATTGCATTTAAAAGCTATAAATTAATAATTTATTTTTTACGGCAAACCTACTTTTTCCACTTGGTGCGATTGGGAAGAAAAATTCGCGAAATATGACAGCTTCGATGCAACGAGTATCAACGAAGTACTCGTTGATTTGAGATCAAAGTAACGAGCAGATGTCATTAATCAATAAACAGCTGCTTTAGGGTTGCATCTGGAGATTCGACAGAGCACTCTAAAGTATTTCCTTTATTACTTCGGAATATCGCGAACCTTTATAATGATTATGGGTTATCTTTGTGTAAGAAAAATTAGAAGGAAAATAAATTTAAATATAAATTATATCGGGCTGGATTCTGTAACTGTTAGAAAATGTAGCGTACAGCGAGTGCAAAACTCGCAACCAAAAACTCAACGAATTTTATTTCAGAAGAGAAGTTTACACAACTTTGACAGCTAAAACTCATCCTCAATGCATTGCGTTGGCGCTGGCGTCACTTTGGCAGCAACGCGAGTAATGCCCATGAACGAAAGACACAAGATCACGCCTTCCCGAAAGAAAGAAAAAAGTTATTTTCTAGCTGTTGAAATCTCGACGCCATCTTTGTTGGAAGAAGTAAACAACGAAGAGAACAAAAAAAAACCGCGTAATTGTTGAACCCATGAATAATCATTTTTATTATGCAAATTCTTCTATAAATCATGTCGTTGTGTTAAATTATTCTTTACCTTATGTGTGCACACGTTGTCACAAGCGAAAATTAAGAAAATTGCAGTAAAAAGCCACCACCAAATTGTAAACAACGAACAAATGTAAACAAACGGCTTATGTCAAAATCGCCCTACTTTTTTCATAAGTGCGATTATAACGGGCCACTCTTCTGCTGTCGTGATCTTGTCTTTTTGGTTCATGAGTAATGCCCGTGCTTGCTACAATGAACGCTTAGCAGAGAATACTTTGGTCACGAAATTAACATACTAGCGGCAGATAAACCAAAATTGTATATCAATAATCGCATTCAAAACTATATTTCCTTCCCGCATTTGATTAAAAAGGAAAATTTAATCATATAATTTTGATTATTTGCGTGCAAAAAGTTGAGAGTGGGCCATCTTTCTGCGTTGTGTTGACGTTGGCGTTGCCTAACGTTTGGTTATGTGGAGACTTTCATATAAATGCCTGTATTCATAGTCAGCTGTCGAAGCGGCGCCTACGCCAACGCAACGCCAAAGTTGTACGTAAACGGGCCTTCACTGCCATAACAAACTTAGGTTTACACCGGACAATACTGTGAAGAAAATGGCAATACATGCACATTTTTTTACTAACACATGTATACTTTTCCAATTGTATAATCACTGTCTTGATTATTTTGAAGACAGTTGGGGTGTTCACAGTTCGTTCCAAATAGTGTCTGAAAATGTAGACGTCTACATTTTCAGACACTATTTGGAACGAACTGTGAACACCCCAAGTAAATCGGACAAAGATTTGAAGTATGCAGACAACAATTTTGACGTGTTGTGAAAGAAAGAAGATAAATTTATAACAAAAGAACTATAATAATCAGGGACGTGAACCGGATGAAAAATTTGGTCGGTTCGGTTCAGCGGTTCGAACCGTTTTTGCACTTTTGGATTGGTTCGTCAAAGCGGTTTTTTTGGTCTTTGAACCGGGGTTTCGGTTCGGTTCAACGGTTCGAAAAACAAAAAAAAAATAACGGGCAAGTTTAAGTGTCAAGTGTCAAGTGCAAGAACGCGCAAGGTTAAGCGGTCTATCAAATGAGATGGCAACCCATTGATATTCTCACATGGTAAAAAAACATGTGGGGTGTTCACAGTTCGTTCCAAATAGTGTCTCAAAATGTAGACGTCTACATTTTAAGACGTTTTCTAACCGTAAAATCTGTGGTGTTGTTGTTTCCCATACAAAATTGGAAAACGACGCCGTCTACATTTTGTCACACTCAAAGGTATGTTTTTTACGCGTCTACATTTTGCAACCTCGCAGCAGGGTTGCATTATGGCAATACTAATCACATTTTTTTTATTTATTGGGCACGTTTTTTGTATTTGCATTTAATTTGAGTGCAATTTCTGATGAAAAGAAACAAATCAAGGAAAAGAAATAACAAATATTAGGAATTGGTAATTAAGTTAAATAATTACAATTTTTCAGAAAGAAAATCGAAAGGCGATATATAAAAAATGCACGCAAAGAGGAAATGTCTGGCAACACCAGCAAAGTTTTGAGACGATTTTGCGACGACTGCTAGAAAGGGGTGCTCACAGTTTGATGCTAAAGATGTCTCAAAATGTAGACGTCTACATTTTCAGACACAATTTGGAACGAACTGTGAACACCCCAATGGTAGGTATTACCATGTTTAACAAAAAGAAAAAATAGTGGGTACATTTATCTATTGAAAATTGGTTGAAACGAACTTTTAACCTTTATGGAAGTGGTTCGGTTTTTGGTTCGGATCAAACATTTGTGGAAAATTTCGGTTCGGTTAATGGTTCAGTTAATTAATAGAAAAAAGCGGTTTTCCGGTTCAAAACCGGTTCACGTCCCTGATAATAATACAAGAGACGCTGACGTATATGTAACTTCGTCTCTTCTTTATGGCTGCGTTTCTTTATACATTCCGGATAATCCCATTTCACAGCCGGAATAAACAGAATGCGTTTGAAATATACGTCAAGATATCATCAGGAACGTTCTAAAGAATAAATAAACAAAAAAGTTTATTCCAAACATTCGGAATGAATAAAGAAATGCAGCCTATAATGTTTTTTAGTTTTTAACTTAAATAGATCGCGCGAAATGCGTATTTTAATATAACGTTCACGTCCGACATTTTGCTCAAAATGAATTGTCATAACTAATGTCAGGACGCCCACGCCACGGAGACAATTATCAGCGTTTTTGACAACTAATACGTATTTCTTGACAACATTGTCTTATGTAAATGTGCCGTAAACAAAAGCGTTGGGCGGAGCGTTTTCTGACAAGAATGATAGAATAGGTGTTCGCTGCACCGTGGTTTTCTGACACCTAGCGTCAGTGATGGAAAAGTAGGTACAACAGAGCCTTTTTTGGCACTTTCATTCTCAAAGGCACTTTTGGCATAATTCATCCTGTTTGGGCACAATCTTAAATTATAGAAATTCAGCATAAAATTCCAATATATAACCAAAAATCACATACTACATTATAGACTAAAAGTACAGGTGGTGAACAGGGAAGCTGAGGATTTTGTAGGGGAGAGGAAGTGAAGGAGCGAGAAAAGCTCGGAGACGTAACCGTTTACTTTGGAGTACAAGTCATCAAATCCATTCCCAGACGCCATTATCGAGCAATCGTTTGCGTGAGAGACAATCGAGACTCCGTTTGGTGGTTGAAGAAGCTTACAATTATAAAAGTTGAGGAGTAATGGGGAAAGGACACGCTGTCGAACCCCTGTTTTATTTTCCTGGGTTCTACCACTCAGATAATTCGCCGACCACCGTTTGAGTCCTCCAAGTCTTCTAGTAGCCTGGAATGACTGACGGTATCAAGCGCCTTTGATAGGTCCAACGCTACTAGAACAGTTCTCTCACAGGGGCTGTTGCGGTTTAGGCCACGTATTATCTGGGTGTTTATAGCGTTAAGTGCTGCTTTTGTGCTGTGCACTTTACGGAAACCATGCTGATGCTTCGCTAGGGTCAGGTGGTTCGTAAAATAGGGGAGCAGTAAGCCCTCTATTGTCTTCACTGCCGGCGAAAGGAGGGTTTTCAGGGGATAAGGCTCTGCTTTGTTGGCTGGTTTCCCCGGTTTGAGCTAAATAGTCTACTTCCGCAGGACCGAAATTTTTTAGCATCAACATACATATTCCATGGCTTTGGAGGCTTTCGCCTTCCCGATGTCTACCTGAACTTCACCGCTAATGAACGCAAGAGGCGCACTTGTTGTTAGCAGTTTGTGAAGCCTTCTGGTCACTCTACGTTTGGCTTTGTCCACCGGAGAATGCAGCGTGAATAGTCGGCTAAAATAGCTCGCGCATTGCAACGATTGGAAAGTGACCTCACGGTTGACCAAAGCTTACTCACACCAGAGGTGAAGTTGCAAGTCTTCAGATGCTCTTCCGCTTATGTTGGTTTACAAGCTGCCGAATCTCCGTATTGAGATCCGTGATTTCTGACGAAGGTTGTCACGCTCATCTGCTAGAACAGCCGCTTCAGTTGGAAAGTTCGGACGGGGGTCCGTTATACAACCGGCTGGGACGAAGCGAGCTGCAGAGCAGGTGAAAACCCTGCGGAACTTACACTCACCTACGTGAACGTCGGTTATTATGGGGAGGGCAGAGGGGATTTTCAGTAGATTCCGCGAAGCCTTTCCAATCAGCTTTAGAAAAATTGATATACCTAGGTCCGGTGCTCCGCGGAAGCAAAGTCGGCAGGTTTATCAATCGAGATGACTATGGGCAGATGGTCTGATGCTAAGATAAGCATAGGTCACCACGTTATGCTGTTTATCAGACCAGCGCTCACAATTGTTATGTCTGGGGAGTTGCAACAGCTGCCCATAATCCTGGCAGGTGCGTCGTCGCTCATTGTGCAGAATGTCGAATCGTCTATCTGCTCAGATAAGTGTGTTCCCCATTCATTTCATTCATTTCATTTCACAGGATTGAAGGCCCGTTAAAGTCGCCAACTACCATACGGGTTTCACCTCTCAGAAGCGCACCTATTTCAGGGTGATATCTTCACGGGCAGCCGGTCACAGGGGCTATATAAACGTTAATTGTTTCGAGCTCGACATCGCCTGACCGGATTACAGTAGCCTGCCATTCTTGGATGGTATCACTGCGATCGATGTCTGCTTCGATAAGTGTACTGCACGATGTGGTGCGTGATGAACGCTAGCCCACCACCATTATCTCGCTCGTGATTTCGGCGGTGCACATTGTATTCGACGCAACTCAACAATGTTGAATTGCTGTGCAACTTCGTCTCTTGGACCGCAGCTATTAATATTCCATGCCGGCCCATAAAGGTGGTTATCTCATCGACCTTGCTCTGCAGTCCGTTGCAGTTGAATTGCGTCTAGGTAGACTTATTGTTTTTTGTTTTTTGATTTCGCTTGACAGGAATTGCAAATACATTTTCAGGACTGCGCACCACTCGAGAGTGGACAAGCAGCTATCAAGGCCCTTGCTACAGATATTTGCATCCGCAAACACCTTCAGCGACGCCACCTACTACTACCAGAAGACCACATTCCCAACAGCAGTACGTACAACAAATGCAATATCGCGGACGCCGTGGAGATAACCGTATTCATAGGTCGGCCTGAAATGTTGACAGCGGCGATCCAAAAGGCAAAGCTGCACAGAAATTCAACATTATTGAACTGCGCCGAATACAAGTGCACTGTAGAGATCGGGAGCGAATATCATCGAAGCAGACATCGACTGGAGATATATATTTCTACAATGTCAGGGCATTGTTATCCGGTAAGGCGATGTGGAGTTCGAATAATTTAACGTTTATATACCCTCTGTCACCAGCTGTCCGGCGATACAGCGATAATATAAGTGTACCTCTCAGAGGTGAAAACCGAATGGTAGTTGGTGACTTTAACGCGCACATCGATCCTTGGCATTCAAGCCTGTCGAACGATCGTAGGGCAATACACTTGCCTGAGCAGATACACGATTGTACGACGTTGTACACACCAGGATTATGGGCTATTGAAGCAGCTCCCCTGACCTAACAACTAAGCGCTGGTCTGATAAACAGCATCACGTGTCGACCTATGATGACGTTAGCCCATAACCGCATTGATCCACTTTGACAAAGCTGATTGGAGAGGCTTTGCGGAAGTTACCAAGAGCACTTTCATCATCGTTCCTATGCTGGATTTATTGTGAAAACCCGCCCAAATTTCCCAGCTAAAGCGGCTGTTCTAGCAAACGAGCGTTGCATCTCTCAAAGGCGATTGACACCAGCACCTATGCCACGCTACAAGAAGACATTGAGGCTTCCACAGGGAGTCAAACGGTGGTCAGCGAACTATCTGAGTGGTCGACACCAGGGCTGAGCACGCTGCACTGAGCATTTCATTACCACTAATCGTGTAGTGGTAGTGAAATTTGAAATGCATTACGACTAAGTGCATAGTGGTAGTGAAAAAAATTTGTTTCACTACCATAAATTGTTTTCACTACCACTATGCGCTTAGTGGTAATGCATTTCAAATTTCACTAAAATGTGTCACTACCACTAGCTGCTTAGTGGGAGTGGAAAAAATTTTCACTATATGGTTAGTGCACCACCACTAAGCATCTAGTTCAGCACTTTAAATTTCACTACCACTTAGTGCTTAGTGGTAGTGAAAAACTAGATGCTTAGTGGTAGTGAAATNTTAGCCCATAACCGTATTGATCCACTTTGACAAAGCTGATTGGAGAGGCTTTGCGGAAGTTACCAAGAGCACTTTCATCATCGTTCCTATGCTGGATTTATTGTGAAAACCCGCCCAAATTTCCCAGCTAAAGCGGCTGTTCTAGCAAACGAGCGTTGCATCTCTCAAAGGCGATTGACACCAGCACCTATGCCACGCTACAAGAAGACATTGAGGCTTCCACAGGGAGNACCAAGAGCACTTTCATCATCGTTCCTATGCTGGATTTATTGTGAAAACCTGCCCAAATTTCCCAGCTGAAGCGGCTGTTCTAGCAAACGATCGTTGCATCTCTCAAAGGCGATTGACACCAGCACCTATGCCACGCTACAAGAAGACATTGAGGCTTCCACAGGGAATCAAACGGTGGTCAGCGAACTATCTGAGTGGTCGACACCAGGGCTGAGCACGCTGCACTGAGCATTTCATTACCACTAATCGTGTAGTGGTAGTGAAATTTGAAATGCATTACGACTAAGTGCATAGTGGTAATGAAAAAAATTTGTTTCACTACCACAAATTGTTTTCACTACCACTATGCGCTTAGTGGTAATGCATTTCAAATTTCACTAAAATGTGTCACTACCACTAGCTGCTTAGTGGGAGTGGAAAAAATTTTCACTATATGGTTAGTGCATTACCACTATGCGCTTAGTGGTAATGCATTTACTACCACTAACCATATAGTGAACATTTTTTTCACTACCACTAAGCATCTAGTTCAGCACTTTAAATTTCACTACCACTTAGTGCTTAGTGGTAGTGAAAAACTAGATGCTTAGTGGTAGTGAAAAAAATGTGTCACTACCGCCATTCAAAGGGATTCGGTCTCAATTGCGTCTGCCTCGAGTGACTCGCACCATTCTGATACCACTCCAATCTGGATACTGCAACAGGTTAAATTTTAACCTGAGCAAGAAACTCAGATGTGCCCAACACGTATTCGGCATGCGAATAGTCTTCCCATGACTCGACACCAGTGTTGCCAAGTTAGTTATTTTTCAGCTAGATTTAGCTGTTTTTTCGCCGTTTAGCTAGAAAAATTCCAATTTAGCTACTAACTTTTTTTAGCTTCTTTTTGAAAGTCTTTTAGCTCTTTCTAGCTGAACAAATAATCTATTATTGCCATGCTATGTTCATCATTAACATACTTTTGGCACAGTTTTCTGTCGGCGGCGGGATAGCTGAATATTTGCACAATTGCAGAAATATGGATAGGTATAAATTATCGAATTTAATAATTAACATTTACTATTCAATAGATATTTCAAGAAAGTTGATATGCCCGCACCCTAAGAGAGTATTATCGAGGCAGACAATACAAGCTCAAGCAGTTCCACCGAAGAGAAGCCTCCGCCTAGAATTTTTCACAATTTCAGCAATTGTCAAAAATCTGCTTTTTTAATCAAAAAGTTAGTAATGAAACTACCTTCTTTTTTGTATCATGCAAATAACCTTTAATTTTTTATTGGATGCAGGAAATATGTACCTATTTTGCTATTTTTTTGGGAAAAAAACTTATAAAACATTTGAATAGTTGCCTTTACAATTTTAGCTTTTTTTAGCCTTACAAATTTTTTATTTAGCTGTTTTTAGCTATTTTTTTTGGTCCAATTAGCTGGATCGCTGGAAAAATTCTGGCAACACTGCTCGATACACCTCTTCGCATGTTAACAAAATCCTACTCCCCTCTCTCTCAGGTCGGAGTGGCACATTTCCTGGGCTGCCAATTAGTTGAGCTTGAGGATAAGGGTCAGGAGACAAGCCGATCTGGGCTAAGCAAACAACTACAGTAACAACAACAAAAACAACAGCAACGGGTTATGCCGGTGTATCTTCACCAAGTCACTCTTTAAATGTAAAAAAAAAAACTTTGAGCTGATATTAGTCCAACCGCCACAAAAACTCACTGCATCAACTAATTTATACTGGAACTTGACCGCATTGAACTTTCATATTTAAAATAATTTTAATATACATATGTATGTACGTATTCGCTATGACTACATATTGTTATTATTTGTGAGCTATTTTGATGTATGTAATTGCCTGCGCATTTATGAGTATTTTCTTGCGCCGCGTAGACGCTAGATAATGCTTCTTGCATTAAAAAATTTACTAGACGCTAACTTAGTACGAACCGAATTGCGCTAGAAGTCAGATGGTTGTTTATAAAAAAAAAAACAGAAATACATAGTACCAAGAACAAAAGTACATACGAGTATATTAGAACGCGCGCAATGTTTAGAAGAATCACATTGTTGCTGTGCTATTTGTTGAGCCTCTTACTGGTTAGTGTATAATAAATTAGCATCACCTTATTTAAAAATAATCGCAAACATTCTATGCAACTACGTTGCTATATACTCATAGCTCATTAGCGCCTTATCAAAGGCAAATCAAGCTAGCAGCAGCACCTCTCAGCTGTCTACACAGCAGCATGGAATATCTGCCGAATTGAATACGCCTGGACGTCCACTCGCTAAACACGAAGATGACAGCGGGTATAACAACATTATTAGCAATGAAAATAGCAACAGCAAATTGAGTGGACGTGACAGATTACTTTTCTATACGCTTCATCACTTTGCGGTGCTCTCGAACTTTACTGTCCAGCATGGCACTGAAGTTTTGCAAAAAGTTCTAAAAGAAGCAGCTACACTCAATGAGTCCACAGATGCTTTGAAATCACACCTGCTTAGTTTTGCGGATTATATAGCACGTGCCGAACAACTAAACGAAAAACCGGCCGATGAAGTGAAGGTGGGCGAACTATACGACATGGTCGTACAATTTACAGAGCTGGTGGACCGATACAACACAACCGCGGTGGAGAATGCCTCCACTGAGACTTTGTATTTAGAAATATCGTTGAAGCAGAATGGATTAGATAAGTTACACGTGGATTTCTTACAACACTTTCTCGATTTCGTCGATGGGTTCAGCGCTCGAATGGATAATTATTTGAAAAGTTTGATGCCCGAGCAACGGTTGAACGAGCGAAAAATGATGGAGTGGTATCGTAAGCTTAATGATGAAACCGACGCGGAGAAGAAAGTGGAAATATTCACCAAGTTTTTTACACTATACGCATGAAAATGTGCGATAAAANGTCTGATGTGTGAAACTGATACGGCTGGGTAATACCGTTGGTGACGATGAGCAATACCACCAGCTCCGTCAGAATTGGGAAAGAGCTCTCCAAACCGTTTGCGGGGTTTCAGAGAAGGCGACTCTCTTTCATGTTATTTCTTTAAACTGTTGTTGGAGCAGATAAAAAGAGCTGCAGAACTAAAATGCTCAGGAAAATTTTTTTACAAGAGCGCGCAATTGCTGGCATACGCTGATAAAACCGACATCATCGGTAACAAGAACCGCGAAGTCTATTCTGCCTTTTTCAAAATGGATAAGGAAGCAAAGCGAATGGTTCTGGTGGTCAACGAGGACAAGACGAAGTATGGCTGACTTCCAAAACGTCAATTGCTTTGCATGCGTACAAAGTAGAATGTCCCATAACGCATTCGAAAACTTATCCAAACGCATCGCTAGAGCAATCAGTGCATCAGAAACAAAGTTGATGCTTCGTTTGTTTTTGGTTACCATTGATGTTTTAAAAATGGAAAATTCAGAAAAATTGTTCATTGATGGATTGAATATTTAAAATATGCAATTTATAAGGTTGCAATGTGTCGCAACTCTGCATATACAAACAGTTTGAATACCGCAGTATAACAGTTTCCAAACATTGTATTGATACGTTTTGGAAGTCAGCCTATCTCGAGGCATCAAATAAATAGTCAGCGCAGTCATCATAACCGTGCTGATATATGTCGCAGAAGCATGGACAATGACAACATACGATGAGCCGGCTCTTGGGAGTATTCGAGAGAAAGATTTTGCGGAAGATTTATGGGCCTTTACACATTGGCGACAAAAGATGGAACGATGAGCTGTATGAGCCTTACAATGGCATGGACATACTGCAGCGAATTGAAATACAGCGGCAACGCTGGCTTGGCCTTGTAGTTCGAATGTACTCAGACGCTCCAGCTCTAAAAGTATACAACTCGGAACCCGCTGGTGGCAGCAAAGGAAGAGAGAGGCCCCCCCTGTAATGGAAATATCAAGTGGAGAGGGACTTGGATTTACTTGGCATTTCCAATTGGCGTCAACAGGCACAGAAGAGAAACGACTGGCGTGCTTTGTTGAAGTCGGCCAAAATCGCTTAGGCGGTTACAGCGCCAAATTAGAAAAATTGGTAATAGAGATGCGAATACTTTCCACTTTTGGATCGTAAATGTCTTCGTCTTCTTGCCCGAAGCAGCCCGGACTTTTTTCCGTTATTTGTTTACAAATTTTGTAAAATACAAAAATGGAAAATAGCACTAAAGGCTCAGAAATGTAGGTATTTGCTAATTTTATTAGCTATATAAGATAAATACACATAAAATCATTATTTAGAATTGATTTATTGATTCCGGGCTAGAAATGTAGTTTTATGCGTTCCTCACACTCTGGGCACTTTTAGCACGGGTTGACACATTTTTGACACTTGTAAGAGAGTAAATCGGCCAAACACTTAGAAAAATTTAAGCGCTAAAATATGATTTTTTTACACTAAGAAAAAAGTAATAAGATTTTTTTTTTCAGAGTAATTTTTGGTTTTTGCATGTTAGCGATTTGAGATTTTTGATCATAAAAAGTGTTTTTTTTAAACAATCCTAATATGAGTTTGTTTAATCGGTTGCAGAGTGGAAGTACAAGCTGAGGCTGTATCTGAGTGCGCAGAGACGCTTACTACCATTTGTTGGCTTTCAGGAGGGTTCGGGTTCGAATGGCATTAAACGGAGGAACTATTTTTTTCCCCGTTTTTCTTAATTACGAAAAAGCATCTGTGAAGTGCAGAATGAAATCGTACTCAAACGAAAAAATTTCCAAAAATAAATCTTTTTTTTTCGTACTTTCTTCCACACAGGTGTTGGTATACTGTTCATCCCCAAATAACCTAGGATATAATTTTGAAATACATTAGGGCTTTCCCTTAGACTGGAAAAAGCCTTGAAAACTTCGAAAAACTCTAAACTTTTATTGAGAGGTCAAAATTCGTATGAAATGAAAAAAACGGGTGTTCGATAAAAAATCGATTTATTCGATATTCGAAAAACCAAAAAACACGTGGAAACCGCTTTGGAAAAACCGAGTCAATCACCCTACACACAACGGATAACTGTAGATCAAAATATATATACCTAACCTAAATCAGCAGAGACGATCAAAATCCGTGGTTGCGATTATTGGAATCCGGCTGCTCCTAGTCCTCAATGGTACAACCGACCGCAGCTACCCCCTACACTCTGAGGCGAGTTTACTCGCTCTGCTTTTATACCGCTTCTCATTGAATTGCACCACAGGGTAGAGCTCGAGTCATATATACATATATACATATGTATGTATGTATATAGGGCTAGAGCGGATTTATTACGGTATTGCGGTACTGACATACGTATTTATATGTATGTATGTGTATATATGTATGTATAATATGCAATAAACATAAAAGTACTGTTATCGATTAAGTTGTGTATATATAAAAGTCATATAACATACATTCGCAGTTAAATAAATACTTACAAATACATTCGCAAGAAGTAGATTCCTGTGCACATACATACATATGTACATATATAGCATATAGCATGTTCATACTACCTCAATGCATAAAATTGTACGTATTATGGAGTTATGTATTATGAATGCCTTCATGTCGTAAATATAAATAATTCATTGAGACATAAAGAGAAGCTATCCCAAAACGCAACTGAAAGCATTGCAGAGGAGCATTATTTTTCCATTGAAAGTTGCTCAGAGTGTGCGTTCATATAGTGTATTTTGCATACTTGCATACACTATGGAACAGAAAAAGGTAGTCAAGTTAAAAATTTCTTAAAATGAACTTAAGAAGAAATTAACATTATTACAAAGAGTCATGAAATTTTATTTCAATAAGATTTTTCTTACAAATCAAAAAAAAAAATAATTTATCAAATTTAGTAGGAGTATTTTTAGAACTAGCGCTCATATGGTTGTCAAAAGCCGTATGTATGTATGTATGTAGTAACAATTGCTAACTAATTCGCACTAGTTTTTTGTAGTGTCAATTGATTCTTTAAATATGCTACTGAATGAATTAGCGAATTCTACTCACCCGCTGAGTGAATTTGATTTCATAGTCAACAACTTCATTTAGCAGTCGAGTGTTGACGCCACCTGTTCATGTACGCGTTGTCCATCACATGTCGCCAAGTGTACATATGTACTCTTATAAGTATGTATTTATGAACGCGTGTGATTTTTATGTATGAAAATATGTATGTAATTGGGTGTTGAAAATGCAAGCAATTGATTCCAATTAAAAACAAGTTCGCAAATCGGTGCGGTCAAGTGCGAATATGAGGCGCACTATACGTTACCGGGGAGTTGGAGGAAGAGCATCTAAAATAAAATATATTCGAAATTATAAATATGAAATAATATATGTAACAAATTGCATGTGTGTGTGTGCAAGTGTGCGAAAAAAATTGTTTAACTTTTTCTTGCAGAAAAAAAAACAATAAAGTGCTGATTATAAAACAAATTCTACCAAGAATAAGAGCCGTTTTCTCATGTAGGTTTTGAAATTTATCTGCCTTTTAAAGACAAACTTTGTTCTGAAAAATGTGTTTGGAAGGCAGATAAATTTTAAAACCTATATGAGAAAATGGCACTAAGTCTTTTAAAACAAAATTTTTATTACGAAACCTATAGAGCACGGGAACTTAGGAAATCGTCTTCACTTAAACTATACAAAGCCCGAAAACTTTGGAACCTTTCAAACCGAAAACGCATCGAAAGCACCTAAACCTTTACTTACCTAACGGTAAAAAAATTTATAAAATATTTTGTGAGTTTAAGTTAAACGAATTTACTATTTCAGAACTGAAAATATCTTGAGACTAGATTAAAAGAAAAAAAAACTAACAAACATAAGGAGATTTAAAAATTCAAATACTAAACAGA